TGCTCTGTTTGCCTCTTGGCATATTCCCTAACATTTGACAAGTCCCCTGAATTAATGAGAACTGCTTTTGAGTTCAGTTTTTCTTTATGTGTACTTTTTTCTAGGTAGCACATAAAATTTTTTTGCAGCCATGTGCCATGATGTGCTCTGTGACTCTTTGAAGATAGTATTAATTCACTTGTGTAAAGATACCCATTTTATAAAAGCTGAGCAATGCAGGTCCTGCCCCTGAGCCTTTTCCACAGCTGTGCCAAGTATTTTGGAAATCAAAGTACACTTCCTGGTCTCAGTTGCTGTTCTTGCTGTGTTTGCTCCTTCGAACTATTCCCTCTCATCTGAGGTTTGTCTCCGCAAAAGGCACTGCCTCTGCCCTTATATAAGCATCTTTGCTATTTCTGTACTTTCTTACCATTAATATTGATACAGAAGTAAATTCTGCTGTTAGCATTTCCATGGATCTTCCCAGTCTTCCTAAATTCCTTGTAGAAGCGGGTCAGATTTGCAAGCTGTTGCAAGAGATTAGTTTGGTTATATGTCACAGCTAATAGCTGAGGAATTTTGCCCTTTTTTAATTTTTTTTGTTTGGCGCTGTGTCTCTTCAACATACATGCACACACAGACATGCATACGCATTTGAGGCTATACTTAACTCTTTTCTTGTGAAGAGCATCTCTTTACCAGCTGCATTTCAAGCCCTTCAGTCCATTTGTGCCAGGGCTTCATCTCGCTGGCAGACTGGCAAGGGTGTTTGAGGTACTTGAAAAAGATATTGCTCTTGGACCTTTAGTAAGTTATTCCTCACAAGTAATTTTTTCGCTCCTTTCTGCATTTTTTTTTTTTACATTTAAATTCCCTGTTATCCACCTTCCTCTTGTTTAGACATGTCTTCTTGAAAGAAGGATGTATTTTCTCAGTTTCATCTTGCTAGCTTTTGTTGATCTTGCTGACCAGCACCCATCTAGCCTGAACTGTTCACAATTCGAAGAATATTGTGCTGTCTGTAAAGACTTTATTTTAATTTCCTTTTAAGCTGTTTGTTTTCTGGGTTTGAGGTTAAGTGTTATTCTGGATTTCTTGCTCAGACAAGGATCTGGGGTGTGCCTACCTTATGGACTGTCACCGTTGAGTCTTGAAGCAGGCCTTGTGCATAATTCAAGACTATGCCAAAAAATACTGCTCCTAAAGCTTTACTTCAAGAAAGTAATCTCTTGCAACATCTAAAAATTTAAATACCCTATTACATCTTGTGACATTTGCTCATGCTAGGAGGTGAATTCAAGTCCCTCATTTTTTAGCCTTATTCAAACTACAGCCACGTAATAGATATTCCATACTCACATAGTTTGCTATCACTTTCACCAAATTTATGGCCTGGTGCTGAGAGTCAAAATAACTACCTCAGCTCTGCCAGCTCCAAGATATGTTGCTGGTATTTAATCCCTGTAATTGGTTGGGGTTGTTTGGTTGGGTTTTTTTCCCCGCCACCAATATTCATATAAAACCATCTGATCTTGGTGATGTTGCCTGTTTTGTAAATCCTGCTCACCAAAGCTTTTGCTGACTTCGTGCTTCTGCTGTTTCCTGACAGAAGGTTACTGACTCTTGTCCTAGCCCTTTACTCTGGGAAATGGTTTTTTATGCAGGCTTGATGTTTAAAGCAGAGAATCATTGCTCTTTAATCTACTTGGGAGGAGTAGTTACACAGCTCTCAAACACCCTGTTACCATTTGTTATGCATCTTTGGCCATATACCTGGACTGGGAGAAGCTCAGAGTTTGGAATTCACAGAAGCTTCTCTTATTGATATTCTGATATTGAGAGAATTAAGAAGAATCTAACACCTTAGACTTACTAGTAGCTGGAAAGCAAAAGGTTGAACTGGATGTTGACTAAGTACTTCTCATTTTCTGTAGAGTTTACACAGCTAACAAGGGTGCTTTGTTCAGCTGTTTCAGTGCTGAAGTGGAAAGGTACAGCACGCACACCACTAGTACTAAAGTATAGTATGGATAAGGGCAGAAACCACATGGCTCTGTATCAGAAACTGCCTGGTATCAAACAGCTGACACTCCTAGATGTCTTGCATGTTACAATGAAAGCAAATGCAGTTCTTCAGACTCTGTAAAGGGAAAGCCCTGAAATTGCCTTTTGTCTTCCTGAAGCAAAGTGCAGGACTGCTACACACTCTCACTTTTGTTGTTGTATAGGTATCGGTCTTCTAAAATATTTCAGTATTTCAGCAGCAACAGGAGTGGTCACATAATAGCCCACAGTCATATCTGTGCCAGGAAAAGCCACTACTGTGCCCTCTGGGAAGCACTTTTGTTTTTCCAGTAACAATCAGTCAGGCCACTGACTTCTTCATTTCGTACTTTTCAAGAGCTGTGTATGTCAAAATGAATGTCAAAAGGAAGCAGGACCTGACCAAGAACCATCCCCACATTCAGTGCGTTTAATGCCTATCATTTGCTGCCACTTGCAAATTAAATTAGCAGCCAGAGCATCTAGAGTTCCCCTTAGATACCACTGTGGAGCCCTTCCTCTAAGGTAGGGAAAACTGCTGGCCTGCTTACACCTACCAGGAGTTTTTCAACAAATGTTGATTCTTTTTGCTGAGTGACCATTAGCCAAACAGTAACGAGGAAAGTTAGCAATACCCTGTCCCCTCAGTGACATACAGATGAGCTCCTTCCTGAAGCACAAAATGCTGAACCACACATGGCCGTGGTCAAGTTCCAGCTCGCAACTGCCACCTCTGTCCTGGAAAGGGATAACTTTGGCTAAACGTTAATCAATACTGCAGAACTAGTACCTGGTACTAGTACACAGTTCTCATAAAAATGAATTGGCTCCTTTGTCAAAACCATGTTTTGTTTGTTCCCACCCCACTCCCAAGTATCAGTGCTTTTAAGAATGGGATGTAATGTTACACCAGTCTACTAGAGCTAGGGACCGTCCAGCCTACTGACTTCCCACACAGAACATAACAGGAGCTAAATCAAAACTCTTATCCATTCAACTCTCAGTCCTTAAAGATGGAAGTATTTACCTCAAATAGCAGCTTTCCATTTGTGAATGGTAGAGCAAGGGGCTGACCCTGGCCAGCAGCTAAGCACCCACACAGCTGCTTGCTCACACTCCCCCAGTAAGGCAGGGGAGAGAAGAGGAAGAAAATCTCATGGGTAAAGACGAAAAACAGTTTGATAAGTGGGTGAGAGCAGGGAGGGCGGGGGAGTTAAATCCCTTGCCACCTCCCAGAAACAGGCTGATGCCCTGCCACCCTCCAAGCAATGGCCACCATGGAAGGTCCCCTTCTTCTTCTACCCCCCATTTCATTGCTGAGCATGACATACAGTGGGGAATATCGTCCGTTGGCCAGCTCAGGTCAGCTGTCCTGGCTGTGTCTCCTCCCCACCTCATGCCCACCCCCAGCCTATGTGGTGTGCAAGCACTGCCCAGCAGCAGCCAAACATGGGTGCGTTATCAACACCGTTCTAGCCATAAATCCAAGACACAGCATGATAGCCATTTCTTGGATAGAAGCGAGTTCCATCCCAGCCAGACCCAATACAGGTCCCTTAAAATAAGCAGCTTGAGCTCAGTTACCTACTAAGCTACTTAACTAACTTGCTAAAATTCAAGTAAGGACAGGAGCAAGTTATGCATCCAGGGAAGTAACCATTTTCAACATCAAAAAAACCACTTTCAGCATCAGTCACCAAAGCCATCTATTTTTTCAGTTTGAGCAGAAAGATCAGGTCAGTCAACAATTAATTTAATTAAGGCCTGTCTTAAGTAACTAAAAGCTTTAAATTAAACTCAAGTTAGACACCAACTTAATTTGTCCAAGTGACAGCTCCCAAGGTGATTCATAACTTGTCTGTAGAACCATGATAAATATGGAGCTATTTTACTTCTGTGTGGTCCAAAGTCTCCAGCTTTTCAGTCAGACGGTTAGAAACAAACTGTATGTTTGTTATGTATTTGTTCAGATACAAATATATCTTAGACACTTGCTGGATTGTGTCACATAATTTTAGTCAAAAAAAGCTACAGCAGGGCTCTAACTAAGCACAAGCAATGCCAGTTCACCGAGTCCACATTGCCATCTTAGTACCTAAGACAAGAAAAAGTTGAGTGACAGTGCTTCCACCACCACTCAACCCCACCCCCCAAACAAACAAACACACAAAAAACCCCACCCCAACTCCAACTCAACAGTTACTTAAGCCTGCTCAAAATTTATACTTGAACTTTACAGGAGTCTGACTGGTCATCCCCATGTATTCCCCAAAACTTTTTCTATACCCATTCTGTTTATGAAGCATCCAAGTTACCTATTCCAAATTTTTTCCATCAAGACAACTCTCATCCCCTCAGATCTCTAATTGCAGGGTAAGCTATAAACTAAGACCTACATATCTTTATTATGATGCAGAAATTAATTATATACAGGCAAGAAAGCATCCACGTTAGGGCAATGGGCAATAATTAAAACACACGAAACATTTTATTTAATAAATTTCATTTATTCCAAGGCAATCCAAAAATTTGTGTAAAAGTGAAAAGCTCTTTTTACATATTAAGTTGTTTTTGTTTTTGTTTTGCACACTTTCTGTGTGGGAAGAGTGAGGATTTGACTGTTTTATTTACAGGAACCCCCTAAGTTTGTTTAAAAATATAGACATAGGTATTAATTAAATATTTTTTTCCCTAAAAGCTAATTGCTGTACAGTGTATACAACAGCTCAAAGTGCCCAAATAACCAAGGGTATTCCGTGACAATTTGACTATACAAGCTTTTTGTGCCCAATTCTCATTCTGACGTAATGCTTCTGCGCAGCTCTTGTTTTTCAATTTTGTTTGTTTGTTTTCATTTTTGGGGGGGGTAGAACAGGGGGGAGTCATGTTGTTGTTTGGATTGTGTTTTTTTTTCTAATGCATACAGTAGTCAAATTATATTACTATGTCACACCCAGTATTTCCATAAGGAAGAAAAGTTATGTTCCTTGACCTTCCAGTTCAGCTGCTGCTATATCAGGTTCTTCATCATTGTAAATGTTTTCTGCCTAAAGAAACAAAAATATTACATTACAGGTGGTAGACATAATTGTTTTTAAACCATCTTCTACACTTTATACAGAAAAAACACGATAATACCACAAAGGCACAGACATCATCCCCTCCTTAAAAGGACCTTCTCCTGCCTTTTCTTAAAGGGCAGACAAATTTAGGAACATGCACACAGTGGCTAGACTTCAGCAGTTGTCTTCCTCCATTGTTTTATTTCAGCAGCATAAGCATTAGGCATTTAACTCCTTACCAGGAAAATTTTACTTGGACTTATTTCAACCTAAGTCTGAGCACACAAAACAAGTTAAAGAATGGGTATAAAAAACCAAAAGCCTGACCTGTGACACACATTTAAGTCTGTTCCTTTTTTTTAACTTAAATTATTCCCAAGTGACTTTATTCCACATTTGTAAGAGAACTGATCCAATTCCTGCAATGTAAAATAATATGAACCAACTGGAAGGTTAAAAAGTATCTTGCTTCACAGTTGGCCTGAGGGAGGTGGGGGAGGGGGAAGTGTAAGCCTTGGCTAGTATCGGATATAAGTTCGCAACTGCCATATTTATTCTTAATACTAACTGGTACCTAAGACTTGGAGTCAAGAATTAACCAGCAGTTATTCAGGTTGGTTTAGTCTTTGTTTTCTTTTGAAAGTCTTACTCTCCCATCAACAGTATAAGTAGTATGGGGGATAGACTACTTTCAGTCACTGAAGGCACAAACAGTCCTAAGAAGAACGAGCCATTTCGGTTTCATTTATGCAACAAGCTACAGAGCAACTCAGGAGCTGTTGTGACACTCACCATTTGCCATATCTGCATTATGTTGTCCTCAGATACAGAACAGATTACCCAAGGCTCATTAGGATTCCAACTGAAGTCTGAAATTTTGGCAGTGTGTCCTCCATGAATAAACTGTTAAAAAACCCACAAGCTTCAGTAAGCCATTTCATCGCTAGAGAGAACTCTGTTAAAACCCAAGATTCAGAAGTTAAATTCATCATGCTGGCGACTAGAAAAAGACGAAAAACTTGCTACTAGAGATTCAAAATACAGGTGTAAAGAAGGTGTTGGGGAAACAACACATTCCATTCGTTGCTTATGGACACGGATACACTTGCTGAAGCAACATTTAAGACAACAGTTCATATTATTATGTGAGCAATTGACTCACATCCTCAAAATGGTGCTACTTCACACTAGGTTGGGCTGTGAAATCCTATATTTTATACCCATAACCTCATCTAATTATGTGAGCACTTACACAGTTACACAGGAAATGGGGAAAACAAACTATAAGGATTTTTATTTGCTTGTCTCCTAAGGAACCAAAACAAAACATGAGCTTTTGTACTTTCTACATCACTAAGGTTAACAATACGGGAGCTGAGTGGTCTAATGTTTGGCTTTACATGTGTTTAGTTACAAAATTGTGAGTACTGACAAGCACATGGCCAAACCATAAATAAGTTCAACAATGAAGATGTGCAAATCATGTCCAGGACAGCTTTGAAAAAAATCACTGCCTTCAGAACTGAACAGAAGAACCCTACTGCAAGCGAAAGCTATGGACTAAAAACTGGGGAGGTGAAAAGATTTAAGAACTGTGACAGTTTTAGTAGCACTGTCATAAGGCATCATACTGCCATAAAGCATGTCAGCAGACTGAAACCTGAACAAAAGCATACCAGCAGCTCAGGAGGCCCATCTTCTGCATCCTCTGCAGACTGCTCTTCTCCAATTTTACTGTAAGAAAGTTTTTATTAATAATGAAAATTACATCCTATACTTAACAGTTCCTAGCCTTGGTTTCCAGTATTTGCTTTTGCTATTGGTTTTTCTCACTGTCAAAAAACTATACGCCTCAGGTATAAAACATCATCTGCTTGGCATTATATCATTACTGAAATAGAATCTAACTTGTGAAGCACATGGAGGCAGAAATCACTTATTACTAAAGACAACAGAAAATAATTCTACCAGCAACAAATCCTCACATATAAGTTAACATTAGATGTACTGTGCTGCTTCTACTGCATACCCGAAAGACCAGGTCTGAGTTAAGCAAGCGGGGAAGGCTAGAGAACAGCACAATCGAGTCTACCAAATCAAGCTCCTCTGCAGCCCTTTTGCTGACCGTCTGGTCACATATACTAAAAGAAAGGAAATGCTCTTCACCTCAGATCCCATACATTAAGCCGACGATCAGTACCACTTGAAGCAAGGATTGTTTCATTATGAGGAGACCAGTGAACCTATTGAAAGAAGACAACTTGACTGAAGCACAGTTACTGACTTCTAAAGCATATCCTGAGTAACCATCACCAGCACCTGGCCACTAATTTTCAACAACTACACTCAAGACATCACTTTTTTCCAGCACAAAGGACATCCTATACCTCAAATGGAATACTTGAAAGTCTTAAGATTTCCCAAATTGAACAGCCAACATTATTTCACTGTTACTGATTTACCACATCATGGAATTTAATTGTCTAAAATTCACTGTTACTTGCACCTACTAAACAGGCAGAGTTCAGAATATTAGATTTACATCCAAGTCCTCTCTAAACCAGGACATTTTAGAGAAACCCCCTAGCTGTACTGAGGGTACTTGCAGACTCCCAGTATCTTTTTAGCAGTAAGTTGTTGACTACTTGCTTCAGAGTCTAGTGGGCAGAAAGAAACTATGTGGTGCTATCTGTATTTGTTGAACCAAAATTCACCATTTAACAGACTTACTATGGTTGGTCACCATATGAAAACCTACATGTTCCTGTCCAAGTCAGTACTCTTCTAGTTTTATTCTACTGATTGTGAGAAAAGTTTACCCACCTGGAAAATTTCATCTTTATGAGACTCAAAAGAATGGAGTTTCAATTTTAAGTTTCGAAGATCCCACAGAGCCACCGTCTGGGAGAAGTAATAGAAATGGTTTTTACTATAATGGCTACAGAAAGATCATCTAGAATACTTATAAATTTAAAGTATACACAAGTAAAAACCTTGTCAGCAGAACCAGTTGCTAGAATGAACTCGCTGTAAGGATTGAAGGACAGGCAGTTGACCTCGGCTGTATGAGCATCTACAGAATGACTTGGCTTGGACATGGTATTAGATCTTGTGTCCCAACTGTTGCAATGAAGAGTTTGAGGGAGGGTGAGAGGAGCAGAGAGGAGAGTGCAAGACAGAGAAAGAGTGAACAAGTGTAAGTTTTCACAGGAGGTTTTTTTTGCTACACATTAGTTTAAAAGGCTACATTATTATTAAACCTAGTCCGAAGCTACAGTTTGTATTCCATAACCTTTCAATATTTTGTGTCTGTTGTACATAAGCAGTTTGCACCAGGAAGCTGATGTACATATTAATTACATCTTATTTTCAAATGATGTGAACACATTAAATGACATGCAGATTTCAGTGATTCTGCAGCATTACTCTAGTTGATTGCACTAAAGAGCTACATGAGGTCATTCCAGAGTTCAAATTTTTTTTTTAATCCAAGTGTTCTGGACTAGTCCACTGGCAGCACACAGAAGGCACCATCCAGAAACCGCTTAACCCCAACTTACATCATAAGCTTCTGATCATCAGCCACGGATCCAAACAGAGATTCATGGAGCAGATGCCATGCCACATCTTCTACTACTGCAGAGTGCCCCGTGAAGATTGCTTTCGCATCAATAATTTTGCCTTCTTTTGGTCCAGCACTTACATCCCATAAACACACAGTCTATAAAGAAGAGTCATATTCTTTTGTTATGTGGCCTCTGTCTGTATTACTTTCAAATAAATAATCACATTCTACATACAAACAGAGATGACACTCCTGAAAGTTTTTGAAAAAGAACACTTAATATGCCATAAATGAGAAGCAAGATAAGCTATCAATCGGTTTTCTGCAAATTCAAGGCCCAAGGATTATTTATAAGGTCACGAAAGCAATTTACACTTTTAAAGCCCACAAAGAACTTTGTAAGCTATTAGCTCAATTGATCTTTGAGAGTCTTACTAATTTACAGCTTCAGACCCAAGCCAGTTTAATTTCTTCCAGCAGATAACTATAAAAACATTCTGTTCTTACTTCACCAATAATGTTACAAAGAACTGTCTGTTGATTGCAGCCTAAAGTCAACTGAGAGTCTTTAGAAATGTAACTACAATACATTAGAACTTTCTCATACAACAATATATATAGCTACACTAACCCAGCTTCTCTCTAATTATTTATTTCAGCATAAATTAGGGGTGCTCTTTGGTTGTGGTTTTTTTTTGTTTGGTTGTTTGTTTTTTTTTTAAATAGGGGAAAATATATGGTTTTTACATGATCATCTGATGCACTGAGAAGATGTCCACTCAAATTTGAGTTCCATGATAAGCCATAGCCTTCCTTCTGGTGCCCTCTTAATCTAAGGTCAGGATTACACTCTCCGCTTGGGTCTGAAAGAGAGGAAATTCCTTCCATTTAGCTTCACCTCGTACAATCCAGAAGAGCATCATTATCACCCAAGAACTTTGTTTCTGTTGCAATAATCATATTTTATACATCAGCCTCTTAGGAGAATGCTGCTTCAATCAAGATTCTCTTACAATATTAAGCATAACCAGGCAGTTAAAGGCACCAAAGATATGGGCCTTCTTATTCAGATTCCACAGACCATCACCTCTCCTCCCAATTACAGTTGTATACAAGTTTATCCTTCAACAACAAGAGGCATTTTGCTTAGCTTTAGGGAGTGTGACCCACCTGGTTTTGAAGGATGTTTAGTGTAGTCAAATACCAACACATCAGCAGATGGTGTTTTTGTAGCAATGATGCAGGGATTCTGTGGCATGTAACGAGCACGGTTTACTTCACCTTCATGGTTAATTTTAATCTCTGTTTCAATTTTGCCAGTCACAGATCCAAAGCCACCAAACTCTACATTTGTTAGAAAAACGTCAGTTTATCGCATCAACTATTTTGAGTGGGTCAAACAGCATTTCATGCCGTTTCCCCGACTCCATGAAACAGTGATAAGCATCTCATCACAACACAATAAAGCTTACGAAAGACTAGCACCATGTGACACAACAGCATTAACACTTTAGATATTTTGAATCTTCTATGATACAAACTTTTTCAGAGCTTTAGTCACTATTTGAAGTAGGTGTGTATCAGTTTTCACCACAACTGACAGAACTGGTAGAAATGCTAATGGGTAATGTTCTGATATACAATTCCCAAGTTCTTCTGAAATAAGAAGACTCTTTTTAGTCACAATTAATGGATATAGAATTAGTGTGAACTGAAAAGTGTATGTGAGCTTTAGTATTTGACAGAAAGTTAGAATACCATTAGACAGGACTGCTAAAACATAATGTAACAATGCATGCATGCCCACCTCCTTTCTCACTGTCATACTGCGAAGCATCAAACTGATCATCATTGGGAATCTGGACTCTTGCAACAACCAGGTGGTTCTGTTCATCAGAGGTGTGCGTTCCCAAAACCAGCCAGTGCAGAGCATAATCCTTTCCTTCTGGCCTGTTTAGAATAATAAATGCATGGAATAAAATTATGTGCTCAGTTCCAGAAATTTGATCGCTGGCATCAATAACACTCAAGATCCAAACTTCTTCAGGAAGCTAGAAAAGAGAGAGTCATGTAAGAGATCCTTTCTTTATCGCAAGAGACTTGTGAAATAAAGTGAACTAGACTCCTCCATAAGCAAGCCAAAGACACAAGCAGCAAATCTACAGTGATAATACAAGCCAGTAAATATTGCCACTATGGCTTGAAAGGGACAATTACAATTTGCATGATAGTTAAAGGTGACACTACTACCTACTTCTATCTTTAATTCCCCCAGCAGTTGCACAGTTTTGATTTGAAAGAGGGTAAATTTAGATTTGATTTGAAAGAGGGTAAATTTAGACTAGACATTAGGAAGAAATTTTTTACTGTGAGGGTGGTGAGACACTGGAACAGGTTGCCCAGGGAAGTTGTGGGTGCTCCATCCCTGGAGGTGTTCAAGGCCAGGCTGGATGAGGCTTTGAGCAACCTGGTCTAGTGGAGGGTGTCCCTGCCCACGGCAGGGGGGTTGGAACTTGATGGTCTTTAAGGTCCTTTCCAACCCAAACCATTCTATGACTCTATGATTTAGAAAATAATCAATACTACTTTCTATAAAACACAAATCCTGAGGACAAGCGGCAACCTATTTTAGTTACTTCTCTTAGAAGCTTTTATCAGTTATTATTTTATTTCAGAACCTCATTTTTAAACACTGCACAGATTGTAGCTAACTAGAATCAACTTTTTCTTCCAGTGGTTAAACATATCACTTGGTAATAAGTGCCGGATGGACAGTGCCATTTATCACTGAAAGGAAAAATTTGAACAGTCAAAATCAAGCAACTTCTGCATGCTTGAAAGCAACAAAGTAGTTATGCTGTCTGAATCCAATCAAACAGGAATCATTTGGGCAATCATAAACCACTGTCAGTATTACTACACCACTTCCAAGGCATCATCATACATTTTGAGGGGGAGAGAAAAATACAAAACAAAATTTAAAAAAAACGCACAATGCACACGCACTTACTTGCATCAGGAACAGGTGTCTCATCATGTCAGGTGCCATACAAAGAGACAGTCCTTGCCTTAAATGGCTTACATACTTTGACACTGGATAATTGGAAATACCAGGTTTTAAACTGAATATTAAGTCAATCTGCAAAATACGAGGCAAGCAGAAGTGTTCCTCATAAGGGCTCCCCACCCTCATATCCCCACTTCATTTTCTTCATGCCACAACTAGTTAGCTCACATCTCTCAGCATCTTCTCCAAACATTCTCATATACAAAATTAAGTGATCATCTAACCACTAAGTACAACATCACATATGTAAGGTGGAATTTTAAAGAAGAAAGAGCGCATCCTCTGATTACTGTATGAGCTTTACACATAAGACCTTTTAAAACCCAGCTGTATCCAGTCCACAACAACATGAGGGACCCAGTCCTTATCCACCACCTCAGTGGAGCCCTGAGTAGTTACCATGACAATTTAAGTTCTGCAGTAGGTGGCACATATTTCTTTTCTCATGCCATCTTCTGCTAGGCTCAACTAGAGTTCTGTAAAATATCAAGTTGTGACTTTTTTTCTCAAAGCTTCTGCACACCCAAAGATCTTTTAAAGTTATAAACAAAATAAAGAGTTACAGGATCACAAAGAGGAGTCTAAGCCAAATTATTCTTGCTTTGCATAGTTTTTATCCTCAAGTTATTCAGCAGATGTGGTTAACAGATAAAAAGAGCAGTGAAACAAGAACTGCAAACAGCCACAGCTCCCGCTAACTCTGAAAACCAAGCAAATCAACAGCTGACCCCTACACCTCCCAGGCACCTTCCAGGCTTCTCTTCCCTTCTCTCACCTGGTCACATCAGGCAACCACTGCACCGTGAGGCTGGGCCACTCCAGAGCATGTGTCATTACCAGGTCGTACAAGAAGGGGGTGTTTTTCTTCCAGATCTTGTACTCCTCGCTGATGACGCGCTCCTCCACCGTGTCCTCCAGCACTGCGGGAAGGGAGAGAGATGAACCAGGGGCTCGGGGCCTGCC